CTGAAGCTGCTACATTCTTTCAGTTTAGGTAAAATGGAGAATAATATTTTAAATTTTCATCCTTTAATCCTGGTTCCTTATGCCAAAGAGGCTAAATTCATGTGGAAAAGATCTGTGCATATTTAAAAAACAAAGTCAAAATTGTCTGAACACAGTAATTATTATTGGATTTGATCAATATATAAGTGGAATTATTGCAGATAGGTAGGAGTCAGCTGTAGTAAAACATTTTCACATATATATTACAACTATGCCCATGCTGGGTTTCAGTTATTACCATTGCAGCTCACACACTTACCCAGATATCCTACCAAATGTAGGTAGAAATTATCCTAGGAAAGGTAGGATTATCCTCCAAATTACTGTTTTACTTTGGGAGAAACAGTATGCTTCATAAAAACTAGTTAGCTTACACAGTTCTTCCTCTTGCCTCATGACCAAAGAATTTTATAAAGCTTATATCTTTACAATTAGCCAGTTCCCACGCCTATCTGCAGCTCCTTTGGGCTTCTTGTGGTGAGAAAAGTTTTGAGTTTTAACTGCATTGTAAAATTGCTGAGAATCAAAGAAAGATTCCATGCTTTTCACTTAATATTTTGTATTATAATAGGTTTTCATTGTTATAAGTCATTTCAGGAGATAGTAGTGTTTGAGAAAAAGGAATAGAAGTGTAATACATAAAGGGCAACCCTATTTTTTTCATTCTTCATCTTTCCGATGTTCCTAAAAGGATTGTGCTGTTTTTCTCTTTCAGCTTTATCAGAAAGTATGTGACAAATTAGAAGTCTACCAAAACCAAGTTGATAAGGCAACTCGGGATCATCTTCTGTATTGTCGAAACTAGCGAACAATCTTGATCCAAGTGTGACCTCTCCAAATCACCTTGTGCCTGGAGGTCCTTGAGACAAAGTTACAAAAACTGTGCTTTAAACCAGTGTTTCTCAACCTTGGCAACTTTCAGGTGTGTGGACTTCAATTCCTGGAATTCACATCAAAGGCCAAGTTGGCTGTGAATTCTGGGATTTGAAGTCCACACGCCTGGAAATTGCCAAGGTTGGGAAACGCTGCTTTAAACTATTCTGCATGAAATATATGTAAAGCATTTGCTTTGCATGGACTGACTAGGATCATAGGGAGCCCTATGCACTGCTGGTGGTGCTATTATTATAAATTCTATTTTTTCATAATACTTAAAACATTCCCTGTCAGGGGATGATGAACTTTTTTTTAGTATGGGGATACTGAGTTAAATTAAGCTTCAGTCTGTGCTGACCTAGATGCCAGTAATTACCAGTAATGAAAAATTGTTTGTATATTGCATGTTCCTACAAGTCTTTCTACTGAATTATTTTGTATGATCTCCTTTGTTATGTACCATGTACGGGCACCAACAATGGTCTTATTTATTGTGACAATTTTTGAATTATCTTTAATAAAATGAAGTTTTGTTTTAAATTTCCAGATTAAATTTTAACAACAAAATAAAAATTGAAATTTTGTATTGTTAAAGAAGAAAATGTGTTTGCTTTGAAGAAACAAAGTATGAACTAATATTCTCATGAAAGAAAAAAACAAGAATAGAAAATAACCATTTAGCTGATCTCTTTGGAACTATGTTTTCATTCCCATTTGACATCTTTCAGGCAAAAGAATTGCTGAAGTTAATAGTTTTCCACACATTAAAATTTCTCATGCACAATACTGGAGCTGAAATACTAGAAAAATCCAGTACCCTAACATCAGATGTACCAACATTTTAGAAAAATGGGTTCAATCAGAAGATAATAAAATTGTTATTTTATAGTAAAGTTCCCTAGAACAAAGCAGTATTTGCGTATTTTGATATTGTCCTTGGAATACCTTGATACTTACCTTGAGTATTTGTTCAGCATTCTGAGCAGATGCTTAAAGCAGCCTGCAAATGGATTCAGCCATAATCCATGGAGCTTAGTTAAAATATTGGTCCACTATAGATATTGCTATTATTCCTCACCAGTGCCAAGTTACTATCAATGACTTTTGTATCCATATCCCATATATTAATTTCAGTTTCAGTCTCTTTTATGAAAGACTAACATGAGAAATTTGGTGTTGTATTGAAATCCAATTTTCACCTCACAAGAAAGGTGCTATATTCAGTATTATATAATCTGAGGTGCAGGACCCAAGACCCAGAGTTGCATTTGGCCTATGAAAACCTTGGATGCAATCTCCCTTTGAATTGCCACAAACTTTTTTTTAATATGACAATTTATTTTTATCCTAGTACTGTCCTGTTTTTATTCTGTCCCTGCCTGCTTTCTGAAGTTGTATGCCCATCTGTTATATTCAAAAAGCACATGGCAACAGATCAGTATTTTGACTTAAAGTCAGCTGTTCTTAGGTAGAGGAAAACAATAATAATAATACTCTAAAAGCCAAATCTGCTAGGATGCTAGTACCATACTGGGGAGTTCACAAATAACTGGTTGATGGATGTGCTAAGTGACACGGGAGATCAATAACAAGCATGAGAGTTTTTTCTGGTTTAGTGGTAATTTGACTTGTGATTGAAAAAGATTATTTCCAAGTCACAGTACTTAGTGTTGCTTAATTTTTTTAGTCTAAATTTCAAGTGTGAAGAAATATCCTGTCTCCAAACTGTTTCATATAAGGACAGTCTTCCATTGCTGACAGTTTTGAGTATTTACTGCTAGCAAAAAAAAAACAGCAATGCAATGTTATTCTTACCATGTGATCTTTTCTCTGCAAATAAGTTATTAGTGATAACTACCCAATTTTAGTAAAATATTGGTCAATCCAACGTGTAAGTTATACAATTGTTGCTGTAATGACTGTTTAACTCAGGAAATCGCATAATTTGCAAAAAGCAGCTCTCTAGATGGTGAAAAAGCATCAGACAACCAATTAAGTGTTTCATGAGGAGCAGGATTTAAACGCACCCACTTCGAAGCTATGAAGTTTAGTGGGAGGCTTTGGGCCAATCGCACACAACTATTTTCCCCTATTGAGGCGGCTTACTCTGAGGACAACACGGGGAACACGAACAATCCGGGACTGGTGTAATTAATCACGCTGCGCAGTCCTGCGTTACAGTGCCCCTTTTGTTTACGTGGAGATTTTCACTCAACTTGGCAGAGGAGGCTGGAAACGCTCAATGGGGCGCACCACGCGTGCACCGCCAGGGCGGGCGGAAAGCCTCAGAGGGAGGGGGCAGCGCCCGGGCCTCCCGCCGCGCCAGGCCTCAAGCCGCGCCCGGCGCTCCCCGGCGCCCGGCGGCCAGC